TTATTATAAACGTAATTTGGCTATTGGCCCCGTCGCCTCGCACGCCGCCTGGCGTATGCGTGCCTCGGTACGTCACGCGTCTTGGCCCGTATGTGCGTGCGTGCGTGCGTATCCGTGCGTGTGTGCGTGCCCGCGTGCGTGGGTGTGTCTGCGCGGGCACGGCGCGCATAATGCAGGAATGCATGTTAACAAGTTGTTCTCGGGCGCCGTCGAGTACTTTTTTTATGGCGCATATGACGTGATGCCGCGGCTAGCGGCTGCCCCTGCTGCTGCACACTTTTTGGGAGCGCAGCAGCAAGCGTCTCCAAAAGGGGAGAAAATGTCGTCGTTAGCTGTTAAAGAACCCGTTGTATCGAATGCCGTGGAGAAATGTTTTTAAAGCATTGAACATTTCACCCATTTGGTCCCTCTTACAAAATATGTCAAATTTTCGAAGAAAAAATATAAGAGCAAAGAGGTGGGGGGGGGCACGTTTCTTTCCGGTAGACACAGTATTGGCGACTGTCTAAAAATACACTGTTTTTGAAATTTTACAGTTTTTCTTTTCCCTTTGCGTTGACCGACCCTTGCACCCTTCTTTGCGTGCGCCGTGAGATTTTTATTTGGCCGATCGGCCGCGGGGGCCGCGGGGGGGCTTGGGTCCTTCACCGAGGCGCGCCCTAAGGGCGTGCCCTACAGCATTAGTCAACACTATCGCGCCCCCGCCGTGCCGTGCCGTGGCTTGTCATTGTATTGCGGTGGGTAATCAGTTTGCTCCCCCGGCCGAGCCGACCCCGCGAGTCCCACCCGGGAGGGCACACTTCCTAATCGTTTGGCGCGCGCGGATTCAAAAGAAAATGAACCAAATGAACGGGAAGAGCGCGCGCGCGCGTGTATGTGTGGTGTTTGTTTTTGTCGGTCCATGTGTGTGCGCTTCGCTGCGCGTGAGAACATTTTATGGGGCGGCGGACGGGTTTGCGCCAGGGGGGCTGGGCCGCCGCGCCGCCGCTGATTTCTGCACTTCCTGTCCGACTGATACCGGCGGAAATGGGGCGGCGCGGCGGCCGCGACCTGCAAAACAAGCCACCTCGCGGGTTCATTCTCTGGTTTCGCACATTGTCTTCGAGAGTTAACCGCTTAGTGCGGCATGACCACAATGCGCACTCTTATTTTAGACATCCCCTATGATCCACTTTCAAGGATTTGTGGGGTTTCATTTTCTTATAGGCGCTGTCATTTGTCTGAGAAATATTACACGGTGTCGCCTTGACCCGCGTTTGTAAACCATTGGACATCCATTTGAAATTCTCTCCGCTGGGTTATTCGACGCCATCCCACGAATCACAAGTAAAGACAAAACTGTAGACTGATGCGCGGAAATTAATTTTGTTTCAGGGCTACACTCCGCTGCACATCGCCATGCAGTTCGGCCACGAAGACATCCACAACCTCCTGGTGCAAGTCTACAGTGAGTATGGCGGCGTCCATGCGGCGTCCATGCTGCGGTGCGGATGGCCCCTGCGGGGAGGGACGGCGCCTCCTCATAGTACACGGCTGCCAGTTGGGCTGCCTACGTGCCGGCGCTCGCTGAGCGCGGTGCGTGCTTTGTGTAACGACCCAACTGACTTTACATTTCAACTGAAACTTGTCTCTTGCACCTTGCAGGCGCGGATCCCAACGTGCGCGACTGGAGCGGGCGCAAGCCCCGGCAGTATCAGATGAACCAGGGCACGTCGGTGTCGGCGGACACGTTCCGCAGTGAGTATCGTGGGCTGGGCTCGGACCGCGCATGGGGGAAGTCAGGTGCACGGGGCTCAAACTCGGGTGTGGGAACGGTGCCTAGGGCGGGGCCGGGGGCGGCGATAGGGGCTCCAGTGCGGCGAGCAGCAAGCCTCTCATTCTTACCCTCTCCCGCACAGCGCATCCGCGCCGCCATGGCCGAGGGGCGCGTCGAGGTGTTCGCGCGAGGGGTGGTGGAGCCGCTGGGGGGCCCGCTCAGTGGGGCGGCAGGGGCCCCGGGGGCGCTCACCCCGCCGCCGAGCCCTTCGCCGAGCGTCGGCTCCTCTTTCACGCGGAAGCGCTCGGTGCGCGTCATCGCCCGCCAGGTCGCCGAGCAGGTGACGCAGATGACGCGCTCTGGGGCGGGGAAACATGGCCGGGCACCGGGGCGGGGAGGACGGCGAGGGCGGCCCAGGACAGGGTCCTCGTCGTCGGCCGCGGGCCTCTAGACACGGCCCTGGCGGGGCTCGCGGGCCGAGTGTCGCAGCACGCCCCGTCCAGACGGAGGCTGGTGGAGTCGGCTTAGAAAAATCGCTCAGACTATGGAATGGGGGAAACGGGAATTGCATCGATCGGAGTGTGGCTGTACTATTCATTACCTAAGTTGTGGGTCGTTTCATCAAACCCAGCCCCCGGTGATTTTTTTCCTGGCTTCTGCTCTCTTACTCTGTGCTTTTCTTTCTTACTCTTCTCGGTATATTTATATGAAAAATTGCTATTTTACTGACTTTTATCTTCTGGTGTTGGCAAGTTATTTGCATGGAAGAGATTGGCATAATGGTCATCTACTGTACATTTTCTCAAATTTCCAATTTTATTAAATTCAAATCTTAGTAGCATGCTTTTCAATTATGATCTAAACCCATATTGTCATAGCTTACTATATCATGCCATTAATTACTTTTCACTGTATCATTACATCTTCAGTTCTTATCATTTTTATGAGCTGTATAATTCAACACGAAAGTCAAATTGAAAAGTGATGAAATCATTCTTTACCTGTATTTGCAATTGGTAAATGTATACATTCATGTTAGAATGAAACTTATTTGAACTTCCGTAGAAATACTAAAGCCTTGTCTTATTCCTGTAGGAATCCAGGAGATGTGTTTGAGGCAAGTAACAAGTGTAAATAGGTAGTCATTTTATATACTTTCGTTTCACTCAGAAAAATTGTTATTTGCCTATGTTAACCTTGTTTGAGTTTGTTAACAAATATACATACAAATAAACACGTGGTATGAAATGCTTGTCGTTTTTTGTTTGTTTTTATAGCAATTTTTTTAGTCTGAAACCTTATGTTCTTTTGGCGTTTAATGATTTTTCAAATAAATTTGTAACTTTGTTTATTTAATATTAACATTTAAATTGCTTGAATTTGCATCTTCATCATTCACATAATGCATAATTTATCAGAATTTTCTGCTGACTCAACTCTGTTATGACATTTTTTCAGTCATTTATTATCACTTTTCTGCTATGTTATGGCTAAGATGTATTTTGCACAATTTACCTCATGGCATGTGTTGGATTTGCTGCATGTTGCATGTTACACATACTTTTTAATATGTAAGTCAAAGAAATATTGCATTTGTTGAAGTTATAGGTGTGTTATTACTTTTTTAGAAAACTTGTGCTCATGGCATTATTTTCTATTTTCAGAAATAAAGGCAAAGAAGAAACATGCAGGTAAGCATTGTGTTTTACATATAGCAAGTACCTATATAAGAAACCAGTGGACTAAACTAGTGGACTATGTAAAATTCTTTTACAGAAAAGGATTCAGGATTTTTGAGGATTGGTTCTTTGAATGTGAGAGTGAAGAGGACAACTGAAGCATTCAGCAACTTTCTTGGTGTTGGACAGCAAAACACAGAGAAAATTCATAAAAACTGGGGATCTGCAGATAATGTACAGCAAGTTCGTATCTGTAAATTTGTCCCATAAATATCAATAATTTTACTAGCTAATATTTTGTGTCATCACTGGTGGGTACTTCTGTTTCAGGTACAGGGTGACAGAAGAATGATGCCCCCACCTCAATTTGCTCCAATCAAAAAGAGGAAGTCTAAACGAGCCCAAGATTTTGCAACATCTCACAGTACACCTAGTACCCCTTCTCAACCTAGAGCGAGTATTATGGAAAATGAAAGAGACTCGGACTCAGATACAGCTGCTGGGTTTGATTCCAACTGGCAGAATGTTCTTTAATTTGGTAGCACCCATCCATCCTACAAATAATTTATATATGTAACTTATATAAGATAAATAACAAAGATCAATTTGTAGTCTGTTAAAAGCTTAAATTTTTTGTTATGTGGAAATATTTTAGTACTGATATCTGATCAATTAAGCTATATGTGGGTATGAATTTCTTTCTCTTCTTCTGAACTTGTCAATGTATTATTTTGTTGGTTTGAGGCATGAGGCCAAGTATAAGGACTTTTCTTAGCTCAATGTGATATACCATAAGTTTTCTGATTCCTTTTTTTTTTTTACTCGTTCTTTACCACCACCTGCACCTACTCAGTGGTAGAAGAACGAGTATTGATCTCAGTGCGATGTCACGCGTAACGCTATTCATGCTCGGAGTACAGAATATGTACACTTATGATACTTGTACCATTCGAAACTGGGAATGTTGTAGGCGTGACCAACAATGGACCTTTTTTCAAGTTTGACACTACTTTTTTGAGAACTCTTAACAAAATTCGCCGGTTTTCGTTCTAAGTCGATAGACCCGTGCCGCACAACGAATCTTCATCTTGGAACACGAAGCGCATACAGACATGACAATACTACATTCGAAACTTCGTTTGCTAGTATTACTGGAAGCAATGAAGATTGTTTTGGTCTAATAGCAAAATTTTGAGAACTCTTAACAGATTTCACAAGTTTTCAGTCTAAGTCCCGTCTGCCGATGTTGCTTCTGCTATTATGCCGCCAACTGTAGATTCATATTCATTTTGGTTTTCACGGAACGCGCATCTTTTTGAAAGCGCCGACTTTTGCAACAATGCTCTTGTCTTGTGACCTGAAGGGAATACCGAGAATAGCGCCTGTTTTAGCCTTCTTTTTAATTTCGTTATCATCCAGTTTCATATGGTACATGTTTAATAATAATATACATTCTCAGAGAAACGTGACACATGTTGACAGAACACTCGTTGATTCTACAACCATATAGATGTAAAGCAACTGAGCACTGAAAGGGTCTCTGTAAAGAACGAGTACCAGTATTCACACAAAATTAATTTTGTGTTTTCTTTCCTCCTTGTTTTTTTTTTTTCATGGAGAGACAAGATTATTGTTGTTAATATTGTACCTGACATTTCTTTTATGATGGTGAGTATTCTGCTCATTGTTTCCCATTTTTAAAATATCTAGAAATGTTTGGTTTTGTGTTTATTTACTGAGCTCACTCAGGTTGCTTCTATTTGTCAACCCATAAATCTTGCCATTTATTATTGAATGGCTGCATTGTTGCGAACAGTATTATATGAAGGTCTGGTTTATTAAAAAAAGAGCAAAAAAATCTGATCTTATTTGCTATCTATACTTTTAGACAACGTTGCAGCCACCGGCGCCATCTCAGAGTAGCAAGGTCCAAGGTGTGGTCGGTGCTAGGGCCACCTAAAACATGGGGAGGCTGATCCTCAAAATTCGTTTCTTATGGAAGACAACTGGTCCTTCATTCTCCTTGTATGCAAGTTCATTCGTCTTCATTGATTCGTACATGATTTTGAAGCGCTATGAATGAAGAGACTATGATCATGGTCATTCCCTTTCGGCGGTACTCTCCAACCCAAAGCATTTTCAGGCATCAGACCGTACTTGATATTTTTATTTTTTGCACCCTGAGCAAGGTGACCCTGAGTAACATTGACGTATTAAGAAAAAAACACCAGTTTTCAGTTAAAATCCTACATCCAGATAACCAGTTTTCAGTTAAATTTCGAAAAGAATGGAGTTTGTTTAAATGGCTGGGTAAAATTATGGTTCTGTCGTTCTGTGGTCATCTGATTTCCGGGAACTGGCTGTGGCGGGAGAGGCAATCTCGAACCCAAAGGCGCTCTCTTGTGCTCTTTAAAACTTTGCGGCTGTCGTGTTGCTCTCTATAACAAACTGAACATTCCAAAAATCAAACTTTGTAATGCTAAATGTCTTTTAACCTTCAAAGGGAGAGTGCATGCCTAAATTACAAAATTCTGTGACTCGGGTGAGTGCACAGCACCAGGTTGGTTGGTATTGGTGCTGTGCCGGTAAGCGGATGTGCGTTTGTGGGCGGCAGCACACGTAGCGGTAACATAGAAGTGAAGGCGAGTCGGCGAGTCCCCCGGCGGTTTCTTCGTAAGTGATTATCGTCATCGTGCATTATATCTCCTCAGCCTGAGTCAAGATGAGTCTTACGGCGCGAGATTTTTAACTTATTCTTCCATCCTGAGTTTGTGGTACTGCTAGTTGCTCGTAGTACCTACTGGATGAATTTGATTTGCCACCATTAAGTGAGGATTTTAACCCCACACCCCACATGATTCATTTCTTCGTTCAAAGTAATTTCCTTTGGTTAGTTTGTTCAATTTAAATCTTTATAGCCTTAATAGCCTGCTTGTTCCTTTGTGTTGCTTTTCGTCAGTTCACTCAAAGATCGTCTGGGCTCTCTGGCTATCCGTGCGCGTGGGGTTCGAAACTGTCAACTTTAGTTAATTCCAATTACATCTTCTTTGTTTTTAATCTAATTGAAGAAAATCAAGCCTTCCTGTAGCGCTAAAGAAAAATGAAAACTTAAAATCATCTTATTATGTGAATTCATTAAAAATATGCTCACATATACTACTTTTTAACATATTTTCATAATTATGTTTTTTGTAGCAGATGATACATAACACAAAAATTAACTAATTCTAGCTGAATGTGTCAGCAGCTATTTCTGAAAAACGGGAGGATTGAGAGCTAGCATGAACTTATTATAGTTGAAGAGAACTTGTGTTTTTGTCTGTTTTAAAGTTGTGCATGTTTATGTCTAAATCAAGGATTATTTCTTTTTTGATTCTATTTTTTTTTTTGTGATAGGTTAACTTATACTCACTAAAATGTACATTTTTTATTAGTGTGCTAACTTTCCTCTGTTCCACTTCTAGATCGAGGAGTTGAATTCTCCAAACCAACAATGTTCTTTTTCCCTGAGCTCCTTAAAAAGCACAGCAGATACTTTCCTGTGTGGATTGCTGCAACTCAGCAGTCAACTGCTTTGAGGAAATTCCTCCCTCCGCGGAAAGTCAGAGAGATACGTGTACATGCGATTGTGTGAGTCCTTATTTTGTTACTACCTCAGTTTCTTATTACTCTTTTCAGCAGATACTCATCCTATTTTGTTATTGTAGGGAAGAAATTTTAAAAGCTTTTATACAATCTTACCCTTCAGTTCCAAGATCAAGATTGACGCATTTTAGCCTGTACCTCTCATCTAAACTGATGTTTGGGTCATGTGTGGTTCTACAGAAACAGGCCGCAATTTTGTTTTGTTAGTTGAGTTACAATTCTTTACAATACTATTTATGTAGTTTTACAAAATCTTATCTACATTTTTATTAACACCATGCCAACAGGTGACATAGCTGATGTTTTCAAAAATATAAAACTAACAAGATGGAGTAAAGAAAAAAATGCATTGGTTGTTCAGACATCCAAGTGAGTAAATAAGTTCTTTTACGAATACTGTCTTAGATTTCCAGTAATTTGGTTTTTGTTTCCAGAAAAACTAAGCCAATTTTAAGAAAAGATCCATTCAGCCTTTGCTATGAATCAGCTGAGGATGAGGAGGCTGTTGATTGGACTGTTGTACCACTTTCAGGTGTGTCAAGTTGCCATTTTATTCGACCAATTATTTCTTATAATAGTGTCACGACACATATAAGTATCAACTTCCCTTACAGAAGTATCATTCCTTGCTGATTGCGTTGATGATGAAGAAAACGATGCTTTGAATTTTTGTAACTCTGTTCCTGAAGCTTCCATTACCTTAGTGGAAGATTACAACTTTAGTACACCACTAGAAGATCTGGTAATTTGTTCTACAAAGTTATTTTTATTTTTAGATACAACCTTAAACCATATCTTTCCCTTTCTCCCAAATTCTGTAGAGGTTTGGAGATGAGGATGTTGAGCGTCATCCTGTTTATGGATTACCCACTTCAGACATTTATGGCACATCTAGGTAAATTTTGAATCTAATAATTACTTTAGCAAAATAAATTTTTTCAGTGTTATATCATGAAAATAATTTATTTTAGCGCCATAATTATTGAGGTAAATGAAGATCAGATCCCTCTAACTGAAAGAAATGTGATGCCAGATGAAATCTTAGCAGGAAATGATGTCACAAGAAGATCAGATGCCTCCTTAAACAAATCTTCTGAGCATATGAATCCTTATGTTTTGTATCATGATAATCTCGTCGAAGATAGTACTGGACAACATTTTGAAACGGATCCCTCTGATATATATCTGCAAACTACGATTTGTCCAGCAGACACAGACTCAAGACCCAAAGATTTATCCCAACATCATGATGGAAGTCTTCCCTGTACTACAGAACAATCCATTGAAGCATCAGTTGTGCGTCTAAATGACTCCAATCGCATTGTCAGATCTCCACCTCTGTTGCACAATCTTCCTAGCTTTGCAAATGAGCAAACTGGTGAAGCAATTGCAGATGTCTGTCAGCCTCAAGACCAGATCTGCATTGATGTTATCGCCGATCCACATATTAATGAGGTTGATCATCGTTCACAACATGAGACTGATACTGATCTAATTACTGGTCAAGTGGGTGAATCCAATACCATACCTCAAGGTGAGGTTCATACTGACTTCGTAGATCATCACGTGGGTGATTTCACTACGCCACCTCGAGACGGTCGTGCTGACCTCATAACTGAACAAATTCATGATATTTCTGAAGAGGTAAGTAATTTTAAAGAACTATAGTATATATTTCTATTCACTCTTTGTTTGGAGTGGATGAAACAATTTTTTTTTCCTTGATTTATTCTGAAAATGTGTGTGTATTAATTTTTCTACTTTTTAAGTTACCAGACCTTGAGGATACACCACGTACGATAAGGAGAAAAAGGCGTCATTTTGACAACATTATTGAAATTACAAATAGAGAATTTCAAAAGCGTCTTGAGAGTGGGGCAGTAGACACAGTGCTGAACAATGTATGTCATCATAGATCTCTCTTTTGTATTATTGATGTTACAATCCCTTTTCCCCATCTACCTTTCAACTGCTGACACTGTAACTGCTTCTTTCTCTTAGACAATCAATGATGGGCATGTAATTTATGAAAAATCTTGCTTGACACAGCCAGGCAGGAAGTATGCAAAAACTCTTTGGGGTTTGGTTGAGCGAAATTTCAGAACTCATCCTATGCCAACAATAGATTTACGCAACCCATTTCCCAGGCTTCAAATGGTAAATCTAGGATGCTTTCTCTCTGATCTAAAAATAATCCTGTGTATTTTTTAAAAAGTAAGAAATTTTGACGGGAGATAATTAATGTATGTGTTTTCAGCAATCTACTGTTCATGAAAGTCACAGACTAGAAACTGAGGATATGCCGGAGAATAACCCTTCTCTTCCTGATCTTATGACACTTGAGTCTTCAAGGAAACGGAGTTCTGAAGAGGATAAAGAAATCCAGAAAAGTACAAGAGCCAAGCGTATGAAACCATCTGAAGCAGTACAAGTTGAGCAATCGGTAGCAGAGAAAGAAAGAGACACAGTTATAGAAGATTTTGAAACCTCAGGAAATACTCATCAGAATGTGCAGAGTGACATACCTACGACCAATATACTTGATTCGCTTCATGAAACAACTGTGCCACAAGAGAGTAGAATCTCAGATGCGGATTTATTTGTCCAGGACCATCCCCAGTCTGAACTGCCTTGGTGTAATATCTATGATTCGCTTCCTCATGAGCATCATGAAACAACTGTGCCACCAGTTGCTAGAAACTCGGATGCAGATTTACCAGTCAGGGATCTGAATGAACTGCCTGTTGAACTGCCAGTCTTTGATGGTTTTCAGTCTAGCGAACAGCCTAGAACTAATTTGCCTGTAAGTGATGAAATTGTGAATGTAAATCTTTTAGATAGAGAACTGCCTCAGTCGGAACTGGCTGCAGAACCCCCTATTAGATCATCTCCTCATCAGAGCAGGCAGCCTGAAACCACTTGGCTGCCAACTGGAGTTCCAGCAGCTGATCTTTTCATAGAACAGCCAGAACATGATTTTATAGAAGAAGAATTAAGAGAAATTTTTGAACCAAGTAATGAACCAGGAAATGTGACTGCTAATTCAGTACCACCTGCTAATTCAATATCACCCAGTCCTTCGTAAGTAATCAATAAACAAGAACAATGTGTGTAGATTTGCCTGCATTTTTGTCTGGCTTTTGACTAACAGTATTGTAACTTCATTTTTTTCTTTCATTAGCACTTTCGAGAAAGATGTCTGTGCTCAAATAGAAATTTTGGCAGAGAATGCCAATGTTAGCACCATTTCAATGGATGTATTGTGTCCCCGTGAAGCCACAAGGCGGAGAAGAGTTGGGAAAATATTTGAGTCACTTTTGGGTAAGAAAGTAGATGAGACTTATTCTCTTTAATGGCTACACCTAGGATTTTCAAATAGCCCTCGTCAATCCTAGGTTTATCCAATCTACTAGCTCCAACCATAACATTTCTATTTTCTTAACAAATTCTTTGGTTTCAGCTCTGAATCTGCAAGGAAAGATAGAATTAAGTCAACAGTTAGATGGTGTTACAATACCGCCCATACAAATTAAGAAGCTGAACGAATAATGCTGTCAAAGCAGCATACCTGCTATACTGAGTCTATGAATGAAATTGTTGTCTTCTTCAATGTTGATTTCTTGTGGTTTGGAGGTTTCATTAGATGGAATGTAACTTTTTAGACACCTATTTGTTTGTTATTGATGCTTAAGATCTTGTTATTTTTCTTCATTTTAAAATTGTAAAGCGGGTTGTTTAACTTTTTGTCTCACGAGGTGAGGCGCCTCATGGTGATCGTCGAGTTGTTCTTAGCTAGCAAAGCTTGGCAAGCTGCTAAACACTATCCTTAAGAACTGCGAGGCAAGCGCCTCAGCTATGGTAAGGTGCCTCACCTTAAGAAACCAAATGTACCACATTGTTCATGTGTGTGTTGTAAGGGGCTTGTTGCTTTTAAATTATTCAATTGATTGTCAGAATGAAATATTCTAGTGTCCTTGTTGTGCAGTGAATGAAATGTAGAAGTCTTTTACCTTTTAAATTTATTTATCTTTTAAGCTAGTTTTTGAAATTTGAAATAGTAAGATTATTTTGAGTATCAAAATGGACCTGTTCTTACTCAAAGGACTTTCCTTGATTGCTAGTTCAAAATTATAGTCTTATATATAACTATCTTTAATCTGAATGCCCTTAGTTATTGCCTGTCGAATTGAAAAATTGAAAAGTATGAATTGTACTCAACAGAGATGTGTTTTAGCAAAGCAATGCCGTCAACTTAATTCTGATGAGTTTATGTTGTTAATATTACAAGGCTGGTGTAGTGTTTTTAAATTTTGCTGTCCTTTCCTAATTATATGTATTTTAATACTTTTATGCTTTGTCTTGGATGTTTAAAATATCTAAAAGTCCAGATCCTTGTTTTAAATTTATGGAGTGCGGAGTAATAGTTTGATGCCTCCATTGATTCATTGTATCTATCTGTGATTTTAGTAACTAACTGTTGGTAAGTGCATTTTATGTTACTTGGTCATGCACTTTTTGCATGTGACCTTTGTTGTTCTTAAGAAATTATTGCATTTATTTACTCTTGTCATGAGCTTAGCAAATGTGTTCAACCCCTAGATTTTTATGCATTTGATATTCAGCTCTTGATCATATCTGAGTTCTATATGTTTGGCATGTTTTACCAATGATTATTGTTTAAATGTTGTTTCTTCCTTCTAACTAACATTACTCCATGTGCCTTATGCCTCTTTCCTAAAAAATTGCATTGACAAAAATATGAAAATAAATAAATTCTGGCACGTGATTGAGTGAGGTCCACTTCTTTGTTATGCTGAGATGTAGGTAGTCCAACTAAAATCTTGCTTAACACCCAAATTCAATTCTTACAACTACACATAATTCTAGGAGAGAGAGAAAGAGAATCGGGTTTTTTTGGCCAGTGGCGTCCCCAACGGAAGGCCAGAATGGGCGGGTGTTTTCAAAATGCCTGGCGCGAGTTGCTACTCTTTTCTTAACTCTTGGAGAAAAGCAAAGAAACCTCCTTAGTTGTAAGAATTTTCTGTGCCTTGTTATGGTATGCCTCTGTCTAATACAGTAATGTGTGAGTGAACGAAATGGGAAAGTTAAGAGAACTGTCATATGATTTATGCTCTATTTCTTTTTCTCAATAGAATAACAAGAAACTGCTTGATTATTTTCTATTTGATACAGGAAGTAAAATACAAAATTTGACTGATTATCATTGAATTTTACATTGCCGATAGAACTACATAGATTTCAAAGACAATAGAACCACAAAATCTAAAATTTTATAACCTCGGCAACATCCAAGTATAGTTTTTCTAGGATTCATAGCCAATATTTTGTTTTTGTTGAAAGAATCAGATAATCATAAACCATGAAAAACCTGTAGATAGTTTTAGAGTGAAGAATGCCCAAGAATTACCTAAAATATGTGCAGAATGGGGACTAAGAAGAAAACAATAAATAAAGAATGAAAAAATAACAAAATTGAATAACAAGGATGTTGACTATCACATGACATGCTTAACTTTTGAGCTTAATTATATACAGCAAAAGTATAAGACTCAAGGTTAAAACATAAAATTTTCTTTCAACACAAATAGATGTCAAATATAAGTCAATGTCTCACTCAATGATCTCAATTTAATTTTATTTGTATGAGAGAGATGAACAGAGATAGCTGAGTAAAGAACAACCTTTTAATCCCTTGATAATTTAGCCTATGTGCAGAGGTTGCAGTTCAATATCAAAATTTCTAGATAAGGCTTCTTTCTGAAGTTGTTCTATTTCAGCAGTCTGAAGATTTTCATGTTCAAAGACTGTGAGATGAGTTAGTTTTGGACAGCGATACATAAACGTACGTACAGTTTCAATTGAAAGACGGCAACCATAACAAAAATTTGCACTCTTTAGCTCATTGAAGCTTAGCTGTAGTATAACTTTGCTCAATGCTTTGTCTGATTCAGGAGACATTGAAGCATTCCAGACATTCAGCCCAGTCAATTCTGTTGCATATTCTAAAAATAACCTAAGGATATATTCAATGTCCCAGGATTTGCCTGAAACATAAAGGCACTTCAAGTTTTGGAACATAGGCTCAGGCTGAGATATTGAACGCACTAAGCTACTCTGCAGTGGCTCAGTGCCTAAACCTTTAATGTGTATATTCTTAACATTGGGACAATTTTGACCAATTATTACTACCTCCTTGGATGTAATTGTGTTCATAGAGCACAAAAACAAACTTGAAAGATGAATTCCTTTCACTGCAAACATATTTGCAACCTCAACATTAAATGTAAAATGCTGCAGCTCAAGTATTGATGGTTTTATATCACTATTTGCGAGAGACCTAGCAACATCTTCACTCATAGCATCAGGACCAGAAAACCTCTCCTGATGTGGCAAAGAAAGGCTGAGATGCTTCAAATGTGGGCAAAGTCGGGATGTTGCCTCAATGTGACTTGCATCAGGATGGTTGTCACTTACATAAGTTAAGGCAAGTTCCCCAACATTTTCCATTCCTGTTGCAATGACAGACCCTAAATCACCATACCTCACCATCTCCAAATTTGGTAAACCCCGGAGAAGAGAACGAAAGCCATCATGTGTCATCATCCTGCCACCACAGTTCGATCGAATTGTCTTGTTAGTAGTAATAATTTTTAATCTTTTACATTTGACTAGATGATTTAAGCCCACATCAGATACAAAAAATTTAAGTTTCATGGCATTAAAGTTCTCACTTTCCGTTGAATTCCTAACATTTTCAACTTTAGATACTATGTTTATATCCTCCAGCAGTGGGCAGTTGTTGCTTACTACTTCAATAATCTCATCAGTGGCAACATGATAAAGACTCAAAACAACCAGGCGTGTCAAAGAGGGAATTTTTTGAATCCAGAAATCATCAAGATCCTGCTTTATCTCCCAAGATCGATGGGCAATCGAGAACTTTCTCATTAGAGGATGCATATAAACAGCTAGCTTAATTCTAACATCCAAACGTCCATCATGAAATCTCTGTTCTTCACAAAGTTCATCTACAACCATCCCAGGAACACTGGAAAGTAAGTAATTTTGAAGCTTAGCTGCCTCACTTACACTTTCAGGATTGTCATATGTTCCATAATTGAACTGGATTCTATCACATGCTTCTCGTACTGAATTACCAATGTGAGACAGAGCGAGAGTATAGAGTGTCTTGGGTTGAATGTATGGAGCCATGATGAAAATTTCTGTAACAGCAAAATAAAAATAAGAGCACTTTAAAATGCCTCTTCAATTAAATAGAGTTGTCTAGTTAGTAGCAATGAGACACAATTTTAACAAAATCATCGCATCCATTCTCTTTGTGGTAAAATGAGACTTGATGATGTTGATCACTGTATGTAATACATCAGTGTGTTAAAACACACCCATAACCTACGAAGCTATTAACATTTTACCTGCCAAATGATGCTACATCCCTCTGGCACAGTATTAAAACAATCAGCCAAGCTATTCACTGCAAAGAAACTCAAGTTTCTAACAAAATAACTTGTTAGAAACCGTTCAAGTATCTTTCTGACATGAAGTAAATTGCGTTTGTTGTTGTGCCTCCCATCGTTTGTTTTCTTTCCCCCTCTCCTCCTCCTCTATTTCCCCCCCCCCCAATCTTTTTCGTTCTCTTTTGCACAAACCCTTCCCCGGTAAATTTGAAACTTATCAGTCCTCGAGATTTTTGTTTAGGATGGCATTAAAAATATAAACAATACTAAAAAATGAAATCATTGTGAGCTTTTATTTTCAAAAACATCAACACTTAATCACAAAATAATAAAACAACAAAAATGAATACATTTATCATTTTAAAATTGAGGCAATTCAAGATATTCTGAGTTTAAAAAAAAAGTTAGATACAGGTAACTTCACTTCCATTAAGCTCCTTATAAGCCTTGATCACCGATTCTATTTTAACAAAAGCATCTACGAATTCTTCTTCCAGAACACCAAATCGTGTGTACTGATGCATATAGGCCTTGTGTGTGAACATTTTCCAGGCCTTTTCCACAACAGTGTTGAGAGGTGTATACAACTGACTGTTGTTTGTGAGAAGAAATGCAAATTTATCTTGGTCATTGAATCTTCGATTTTGATGGCAATGGAGAAATGCTCCCTCTTCTGGCACCCAACATGGGTGTAATGGTTTCTCTCGGAAGTCTTTACCAGGTGTGCATTGGGTAGAAGCAAATCCTACCCCCCTTGTTATGAGAAGATTAGCTATACTACATGAAAACTGGTGCAGAGAATGCACTGACTGAGCAGTTGACGGTGGTCGAAGCTCCCAGTCAATAGTTACCGAGCCAGGATTCAGGGAGTTTATTCGGAGCATTTGCCTCATATGCTTTGATAGAATATTCCATTGATACCCTCCTTCAAATTTCTTCACCTCCCTTGGTGTGTGAGGGGAGGATTTAACACTAAAGTATTTAAACGATGGATGAGGTGCGATGTGAGATATAATGTCAGTGGTGCTCATACTGCTGGAGAAAGAGGTGGTTTGAAGAGGTTGGAGACTACCAGCCATCTTGAGGCCAATTATAGAGTTAAGATCGCCTATACCAACTGACTTACAATGTAGTAAATTTACTAACATACTATGCAAATGATCATTTTGCAATAATAAAGTTCCATCAGAGACGTTCCATATTTTAGCTAATGTCAGTAATGTATTATATGATTGAGTCACTACTTCTCCTTCTTCAAAAGGTAACACAAGAGCATTGAAAAATACTTTCTTTGAAAATTCATCGTGCATATTTTCCATGATAAAGCTACCTACACCAGAACCAGTCCCACCGGCAGAACTCATAATACTCAGTATGCCTGCTAATCGATCAGCCTTCTCGTTCTGAATTCGAAGGGCTTCAGTGACACTTTCCAATAGCTCTGGACCTTTTTTCTGGTAACCCATAGCCCAATTATTACCGGCACCTCCACTTTGAAGGGCACATGTTTTTGGATTATATCCCCAATGACAGTTGGATGATTGTTTTTTTAGTAAGTCCTGCACAACCTTATTCTCTGTATCAACTAGAACTGATCGTGCAACAAGTTTGTCCATATTAAAGTCTTGCTCAAACCACTGAGTAACTGTTTTTTCAACATAAATTTCATTGTCATAAGAAGAAACCCCAGGCTTGGGATTAAAAATATCTTTTGCTAAAGTAGAAAACAACTCATGGCCGACCTGGTTGCCACACTGTCCAAATTGTATAGTCGTCAAAGCCATACTTTTCTTCAGTCTTCTGTAATGAATGTCAAGCCATCTGGAAATATTTTCAATCAAAACATTAAAACGATGCACACGAACTTCTACAAAGAACGCTAGTAAGCAGAAGAGACGTCAAAAAACACAACAAACAACGAAGACGTAACCACAACCACAAGGAAAGCACAAATGCACAAAATGAATACGCCTAACCTGAGGATTGGTGACAGTTAGTAAATTTTCTGACTCTTCGAAGGAAAATTAGTTCAATTTCATCCGCATGACCTGTCCAAAACAGCAAAATAGATTAAAATTGATTTATCGGTCAAGTAAGAAGATGCCGGGGAAAACAAACAAAAACATTGTTGTAAGGGGGAGGCAACTATCAACGCCGTAAAGCTACTTTGGCTTGTAACTTCACCGACCAATACTTGTTGAAACGTACTACAAAATAGAACATTTCAGTACAATATGTGAAACAGAAGTAAAATTTTACTTGATAATTTTTAATTAGATGAGGAGCACAGACAATTTTTGGATGGAGAATTTGTCGCTGGCGTGTTGCAGTACTGTACTATGTCATGACCCATGATGCCTCAGTGAATGTTTTTGGTATGGCTGGTGTCGTGTGCTCGTGATATTTTCCCACATACTTTGAATGAATTCTTCTGTTAAATGTGCAATTCCCTTGAAGCGCTTTTTGTACAACTAATTGAAAAAGCTGAAGACAAATCAAGTTGCCTATCTTGTGCCTAAGTAAGTATTCCATGTGAAATTTAAAAATCTTTATCGACGTCCTGACCTGTCATTTGGTTTGTTTATCGAGATGTTGGACTTGCTTTGTATGCCACAATTATAACTTATTCTGTGGAACTACTGAAGTTACTCTGCTTCAAACGCAGCCGAAATTGTACATACGTTTGTCCTGAAAGTAATTTCGTTGGAATGATGTGCTCTTTCTTTTATCTGTCGAAAGTTAGTCGGCTCGGTGATTATCTGGAGTTTCAATAGGTTAGGAAACACCTGCAACTATTTTTAAACCATACTTTATTTCGCAATCAAATTTAGGAACCTCTTGTCTTATTACGATTCAAATGTGTCAGCTTTAAGTTTCTGGTTTTTATCCTGTTACAAATTTGCTAAGAGTTAGGCCATCGGCTATATGGATTAAGTTAAATAATTAGATAATTTAATTCTTATATCATAGTTAAGGATCTGATCTTTAGAATGAAAGTTGAGTACTAATCAACTAAATCAACCCTACTGATCATGAAATTTCTTGTGACAGTATTCTTGTCAGGTTAATGATTTTTCATGTGTCATTTTCTGTTTTTTGTCAAACCTGAAGGCAGATGTTGTTTGATGTTCAACTTGTGCTTGTCAGGTCCGTTGAATCCTCCTGAACGTAGTGTAAACCATCCGGAGAGTTTGGTCGTACTTTTAAGAAATCACTCTTTTATTCATTCCCACCCACATCCGTTTCCTGCTCAACAAGGGCCAGAACTCCCCTTCAAAATTGCCAGCCGATCTCCTAGGGTCCCAACTCTCGTATTTCACTGTCACCCTGGAATGTACTGAACTGGTCTGTTTGGCGATGAGACTTGACCGCAAGGGCCAGTACCTTTATTTGGGTACTTTGGGCTGGTGGTGGAGGAGGATACGGCCCCGTGAGCGAGCTCTGGCGCCCTGGCACCCTGGCCGCTGTGGGTTTCGAAGTGTTTGGGCCCCGGGGCCGCCCGCCGCGGGTCGTATGGGGGGCGCGTGCGCCTGTTTCTCAGTGTCTTTTGTATTTTGGCTGGCTCTGCTCGAGCCGCTGGCACTGCGCCCCCGCGCACCGCTGTCGTGCCCTGCAGGGCCTGTGCGCGCCCCGCCCCGCCCCGCCGGAGACTGAATGGGCGCGTGCGGGGAGTAAGTGCGCGACCGCGGGCCCCGTCCCGTCCGAGTCGAGGACCCGCGGCCGCCAGCGGCCCCGCCCCGCCCCGCCACACGAGGCCATCGCCGGCTCGTTAATAGGGCGTCATTAGGAGGCGATGAGCACAATACGACGACGACGTCGTTGCCGCCGGTCAGGACAGCAAGCAGCAGCAGCAGGATGCCGGCGGCCAGGACTGTCGGGCCGGTGCGCGTGCCAAAGCGGACAGGCGGCGGCGCCGCGGGTCCGGCGGGGGCCCCGTGCGGCCCCGTGCCAGTCCTGAATGGCGCGCCGTGTGCGTCGGGTGCCGGGTGCGCTGTGCGTATACGTAGCCGCGGCGAGCGTGGGTCCGAGGCGCTCTTCCCTCCCACGGCACGCCGACATTGAGCAGGGCCTCGCCGGCCTCGCTTCGGACCGGTCCGTCGTGCGCCCGCCCTGGCCCGCCTGCTGACGCTGACGGACATCGGCGCGGAGACGTGACGCAACGTTGTCATCGGGACGACACAGTGCCGCACATCGTGCTGGCGTCCGTCACGTTCCTTCTCGGAGGAGCGGGCGTGGAACAATGACGCGGCGGCAGTAACGCGCCGTCGCCCGGCCGGAACGTGACGCCCCGCGCGCCGCGCCGCGCAGCTGCCGAGCCGGCAGAGCCCGCTAGAGCCGCGTCCTCCACTCGTCGCGAAGAACATCGTCGGCGTCTCCCCCGCCCAGCTGCGAGTGGCCTGCTGTTGTTGGCGCCCCCTAGAGGTGTGATAACCTCCCGGTCGCAAGTCGCGCGAGTGTGATTTCCGTTGCCAGCGGCCCGCGCACCGCGGGGTACTCGTCGCCTCGTGTGGTGTTTGTACCGCTTGCGCAGCTTGCGGCAGTTTCGATCGCCCCGTCCGGCCGCAGCGCCTCGCCACACCCCGCCGCGCCACTCCGCTCCAGTTCCCCGCCGCACCCGCCCGCGCCCTAGAGTGGTATTGGAGGAGATCGTTAATTGATCGTGCTTGTAATCAATGGTGGACCACCGCCCTCGTGAGCGGTGGCCGGGCCGGCCAGCGGCGGCGTGACGTTGTGGAGGCCAGCTGACGCGCACACTGCAAAGCAAAGTCCAGCGGGCCCACCTAGACTTGTTTGCTGTGCCTGCTGCAGAGGTTTCCGGCTCCTGCTGCATCAAGTCTTAAATTTTTGCCCGTGTTTATTGACCTGAGACTATCCGCTGTAACGTGGCTAGGGATGGAGGGCTTGGCAGCGCAACGGTGCCTTGGCCTGCTAATGTTGGAGGCACCAACGCCCACGTCGTGCGTTTGCAGCCAAGGAAGGCCCACCCACCCCCGACGTTGGCCCCCAACATGAGCTAAAGGCAGCTCCAACCGCCCCAACGGCAGTGTCCTCGCAGTACCTTGTCGAATGTTCACATCTCCTCCCGGGTCTTTCTTTGGGCGCAGTGCCTGCAGCCTCTGTGTGGGTGCGGGGCTCCAGGCGACAAGTGAATCCAATTCGTTCCTGAACTCTCTGGGCGGCAGCAGGAAAACAGGAACCTAGTGAAGATAAGATTGCTCGATCTGCTTCCTTCTGCGCGCTTATTGGCTCACAGCGACGTCTTCGCCGACCAATCACAAGTTCAAGGAGAAAACAGCAGTCAAGTTTTTTCTTCTTTAGACGCCGGTTTTCTTGCAGCGGAATACCCTGTATTCACTGAACCAACGCTGTGCTCCCTGTTGGGTGGGCGGGGCCGCAACGAGAGGCGCGACAAAGCGCCCGCGCCGCGCCGGGGCAAACGACCGTGTTGTAGGGGAGCCGACGCGGCCCCGTGGGTGCCCCTGTCTGTGGGTGCCCTCGTAGGTTCCCCTGTCTTTGGGTGCCCCCGTGGGTGCTCTCGTGGGTTCCCCTGTTTGTGGTAGCCCCAGTGGGTGCCCCTGGCTGTGGGTGCCCCTGGCTGTGGGTGCCCCCGTGGGTTCCTCTGTCTGTGGGTGCCCCCGTAGGTGCCCCTGTCTGTGGGTGCCCCCGTGGGTTCCTCTGTCTGTGGGTGCCCCCGTAGGTGCCCCTGTCTGTGGGTGCCCCTGTCTGTGGGTGCCCCCGTAGGTGCCCCTGTCTGTGGGTGCCCCCGTGGTTGCCCCTTTGGGTGCCCCGCCCGGTTGACGGGCACATGACCCCGGCGGTGGCGACGACGACGACATGGGGGAGCAGCAGCCCGGCCCGGCTGCAGCTTGACGTCACCGCGCATGTTGCGTTTACTGCCATTGTGCCGTGCGGGACCGGCGTCTGTCTGCGCCGGGCGGGGCGGGGCGGGGCGGCCGCGTGTGGGCGACGACGCAGCATTCGCGGAGAGGATTTCCGAACGGAGGGGAGAGGGATGTGGGGGGCTCGCGGGCGTGTGCGTGTGTGGGTGGCTGTCGCGCGACGCGAGGGCTTTCGCCGCGCTTTTCTCACTTCTCGGTTTCACGACCTTTGTGATGTGTCTCCTTCTTCTCCCCCAATCGGCCCCACCAAACGCCCCCCACCCCCGTCAGGCGCGGTGTGTCTGGGTGCGTGTGTGCGTGCGCGCCCGCCGCGCCCAACGGCCTCCCGCCTCTCTCTCTCTACTACTCGTTCGTGCCCGGCCGCGGGATTTGGTCTTTTGCCGAGTGATAATCAAGTGCTTTTGCTTTGGCCGCAGGCGGGGCGATGGATCGCAGAGAGCGACGCCGCAGCTTCGGGACCACGCCCTAGGGCAAGGCCGCGAGGGCAAGGCCTAGGGTAAGTATGGAGCCGTACAGCTCATCCATGTGGCCATAAGGCTTCCCCTCTTGTGCCCCCTCTCTCCTTTCTCTCAGGGTCGAGCAGTCCCCCCTCCCCCTTTCCTCCTCCCCGACAAGTAGGGGGCACCGCCGCGGCGCATCTGTGCTCTGCATCTTTTTTAGCGGCCTGCCGCCGCTGCCGTCGTCACTTTGGTCCGGTTCAGTACAGTGCTCGTGTCGCCGAGCCCCTCGAGTCCGGACCTTGGTGGGCCGCGGACCCCGCGAGGCGTTCCCTCTCAGCCTTCAGCGCCGGCCGCGCGCGCGCCTGTCCGACGTACGTTTCCCTATGCAGTTGGGCCACCCGGAAATATGCATATCTCGCCCGGCGCAGGGCTCCGTGCACCGTGGTGCTCTTATTATTGCGCTGGATTTCGTCATTATTTCCCTTTCTTCTCTGGGGCCGGCTCGGCCAGGCCGCCAGGCCCGCCGGGCATAGTAGTGTGGAGCCAGCTGGCTGGGGGGGCCCGGGCCCCGACGCCTTGCCCTGCCCCGCGGGGAAAGCTGACCTCCTATGGGCCGGCGGGACGGGGCGGGGCGCACTGAGCTATGCCAAGTCCACCCGCGGGCGGAACGAACCGAGGGACGAGGACATGTGGCGCTCGGCCCGGCGGCAGGCGGGCGGGGCGCGGTACCTCCACATGGAGCCTGGACCTGGAGGCCGCCTGGAGCCGCGAGCCTGGACTTCATCTCGTGGATCGCATTCTAACTCCCGCTCTCCCCCTTCTCCTCCTCCTCTCTCCTCGCGCCGCGCCGCCATGTGGCTCGGCTCGCGAGGCCTGTTTATGTTGGACCCCGACCCAACCACCAAGCCCTGTGTGTATATGTGACTCAGTGAGTCCGGGGCAGATTGACTCACTTCGCTGGCGTGTTGCAGATGGACGGCGTGCGCGCGCTGGACGTGCTGCCGCTGCTCCAGGAGCGCCTGGCGGTGCTGCCCGGCGGCCGCGACCTGCGCGGCGGCCCCGTGATCTGCTTCCCGGCCTCCGCCAAGCGGGAGCGCGCCAAGCCCGAGGACTACCGCCGCCTGATCCAGTACCTGCTGCAGATACCCGGGTGAGTACGGCTGTGGTAGTGTTAACCGAGCGTAAGTTTGTCGGTGTATTATCTCTGAATACGGCACACCGACGACTGCGTTTGCGAAGCAAATTTAATTTTACTATTTTGAAAGTACGTAAAAAGTGCATGACACTATTTTTGTTATACTCTGACTGGGATTTTTAATTTTATTTTGATCCTGTTCTCCGTGCGCAACAAGGCGCGCCGAGCCCCTCTCCACACTGCTTTCAGAGCAGACGGGAACACACATGCGGCCGTCCGTCCCCTCCGCCGCCACAGGCTGAGCACGTGCTCTCGCACCCACCAGGAAGTAGCGCTGCAGTGTGGATGATACTCGGGAGAGGGAGGGACGGGGGATGGGGAGGGGGGCGTTGTGGCGGCCGCGGTTCATTTTAGAAGCACCTGATGTGCCGAGGCGCCCGCGGGCCGCGCCACCTGTGCCGTATGACGTGCCCGTCGTCGTGGCCCATGGCGGCGGCAGCGGCGGGGCGCGACCGTGGCGGCGGCGGCGCCCATGAGAGCCGAGCCCCGTCCCTCTCCCATACCCCATGGGAGTGTGGTGAGCCGGTTATGCAATATGCCTCATCTCATCAGCCCATGCCCGCGCCGCGGGTCGCTCTGCTGCCCGCGCTGCTCGCCGTCCTGTTCCTCGTGCACGTACCCGACCTGCTGGCCTGGCCGCGGGGCGGGCCTCGCGGTCTCGAGCGGAGCAGCGGAGGGGGCCGCGCGGCCGTCGTGCGTCGACCCGACCAATTTTTACAACGGGATGGGGCAGGGTTTTGCCCCCCTCCTCCACCTCCTCTCCCCTCCGCTCCGCACGGTGGTGGTGCGATCGCTACAATTTATATCGAGGCCGCGCGGGAGACGAGACGAGACCACCGCGACCCCAAAACGGTTTTCAATAATAAAGCCGTGTGTCCGGCAGGAACGGCGGCGGGGCAGAGTGTGGGTCGCCTAAAGAACAAGCTGCAAGAGCTGCCTACTTCCAGGCGCCTCTCGGCAGAGGGCCCCTCGCCCTCCCTGCCGGAGGCTCCAGGGCGCTCCTAATTACCATCCTGAGAATGCTTATGACGGTACAGTGGAGGTCGAGGGGGGGGGGGGGGACTTCCCTCGCGAGGTTGCGCTCCCTAACCCAGGCTGCTCTGCTGCTCCTCGTCCAACGCCAAAGGGTCCCCGGGCGCGGACGTCACGACTCAGGAGGCGACGTCCTCGCGCGTCCTCGGCCGTCCGCGCTGCTGAAAGTCGACGCCCGCCTCGCCTCGCCGTGCTTGGGTCGAAAACACTTTTGCAGCGCCCACTAGGGAAGAGAAGAATGGTCGTTGGTTACGGGGCTTGCGGACGCAAACCGAGGAGAGAGAGGATGAGGAGGGGGATGCAGATGTGGGGCTGGCCTCGTCGCCCGTTTGCAGTGTGGTGGAAACTAGCAGCTCTTTGGTTGTTTTACATCTTTTTATTCCTGGTGTAACGACATATTCCCCAAGCTTTATAGACACTCGGAATGTCATGCCACTAGGACTGTAATGTCTTGTTGCACCAGCATCCAAACTGTTTCTTTCCTGTGCGGGTTCGAAATAATGTGAGAAAAATTTATAGCATAGTCATGCTTATCTAGGCCAACTTGGGCTCTGTACGTCACACCGTGGCGCACTTATGGGCACATGTTAACCGATTTCGATGACATCCACAAAACAAGCAGTTGAATGTTCACCAATAGATGTAAGGAGGTGTCGCCTAGAAAGTTTGTTCGATCCCCTCAGATTCTTTCCGCAAAAGGCGGGGGACGTCGGCGCCTGCGAGACTCGGGGTAGGCCACGCCGCAGTACACGCGTGCACTGCAGGCGTGATGTTGCCTACCCAACAGGCGCTCTGAGCGCTCGCAGTGGCTGTGGTTCTCTCGCGGCGAGACTCGGGGTAGGCCACGCCGCACTACAC